AAAAAAAAAAAAAAAAAAAAAAAAAAAACAAAAGCAAAAACAAGCTATCTCTTTGTAAAGTTTTTAAGATGACTGTAAAAAAGAGAGTAAGATGCATATAATTTACATTCTTTTACAGAATTTCTTTTGTTAAGATTTCAGGTGACAGCAATAGATAAAGAAGGGTTCAGATGACAAAGGCTGAAAACTCATCTGGAAATTGGAATGGACAATGGAGTGAGTGAACAACAGATATTTCTACAGTTACATGAAAAATTACGGATAAACTAAAGCTGGATAAATGTTCCTCTCACACTTAGAGCAGGATCTGATGTTTCCATCAACCTGGACTCTGGGAAGGTCATTTTACCTTGATGCTGTTTCATGTTTGGTTGGCATTTGAGCAAGCCTTGTTTAGAGCAGATTCTGTGGGCTGGGATGGAGCAGGACAACTTTCCCAGGGAAGACAACCTCACCTATGGTCATGCCAGAGTCTCCTGTCCTTTCAGCATCCTCTGTTCCCTGGTGGGACACTGGAGTGGGGAGAGCTGTATTGGATGAGCACAACTCCAGCTGTTGGCAACACAATCTCCTTTGTAGGGAACGTGAGGAAAATCTTATCTAGAGCCAGGCAACAGTGGACACTGGCTGCTACTGACTGGCTTCAGAGGAGGGAGCTTTGGAAGGTGGCTTAAGGCTCTGCAAGACAATATTCAGATGACAATCTGGCAAAGTGTCACTTTCCTCACTTTCACAATCTAGCCATCCCCAGAGGGCAAGATAAACCCACTGAGAAAAAAGAGAACCTGCAGATTTATTTTCTTGCTGCTTGTTCTTTTTTTTTCCTCTTTTTTTAGTGGCAAAAACAAAGCAAAACAAAACAACATCACAGAAGACAACAGAATAAGATTTCTAAATTGCTTTCAATTGGCCTCAGCTCAGTCCATCAGTCCTTCACACAACCTGATACTGGTTCCTGTGAACATGGGGCCTGGCTCTGCTTGGTGGGAATGCCATAATCATAAATGGAGTGCAGAATTCACAGAAAATTTAGCTGCTCAGGCCCAAGGGATGCACATGTTTCATAACAATTCAGTTTTCCACGTGCAGAAAGAAAAAATTCTTATCCACATAGCTGATGGCCCACCATAAATAGAAAAGGGTAAATACTGTAAAAACATAAAAATTCTGAAATATATAGACCACTAATATGGTAATATCACCATATAACTGCTTACAGAGTTGGTTAGCTGACCGAGTTAAAGATAAAAGATTTTGATTAATTACTCTGTAATTAGCTGCAGCAGGCAAATGCATCATTATCATCAAGATAAAGCACTGCAAGAGTCAAATAGTTTTGGGGAAAAATGAAAGATGTAACTTTCAACTTGATGGATCTATTGTACTTAGCAGCAATGGTCCTGATTCCTTATGGATCTTCTGTTTAGCACTGTACAATTTATATGGAATATCTGCAAAAGATCCTCAAGAGATGGAGAAAATACATAGTAATAGAATTAGCACTACAATAACCTGTGAGGACTAAGCAGGAATATAAACCCACACAGAATCACAGACTCCCAGAATGTTTGGGTTGGGGAAAAAAAATAATCTCATTCCACTCCCTGCCATGGGCAGGGACATCTTCCACTATCCCAGCTTGCTCAGAGCCTCATCCAGCCTGGCCTTGGACACTTCCAGGGATGGGGCAGCCACAGCTGCTCTGGGCAACCTGTGCCAGGACCTCAGCACCCTCACAGTAAAAACCTGACATAAAAGTTATTTTGCTGTCCTGGAGATATAAAATAACAGAGAAGGAAGAGAAAAGGGAAATCTGCTCCAGATGAAGCCATCCCTAATCCAGGTAAGGATTTTTATAGAACATCTTCCTGCCTTTTTTTTTTTTTTTTTAATTATTCAGCTACACAAGACAGCCACAGCTTTATTTTGAACAGGTAATTTCTAGCCTCAGAGTCCCTCCCTCCCTCTGCAAGAGAAAGGAATCAAAACTGCTAAATGCCCAGATAAATTCTATCAAGTGTCGAATTAAGGGCAACAATTAAAAGTAGTCTTAATAAAATTGCACTATTTCTAGAACTGTGGACTGCTAAATGACTTGAAACACCAGGAGTTGATGATCAAGACTGAAAATAAAAAGTCCTGTTAGGATGTTTTACCCTGATTTACAGCATCTTCCATGCTCAGATACCACTAGTTCCACAACCCTACTGGAAACACTCCATATCCCCATTTTCTCTAAAAACAAACCTTTCTTTCTATACTGTCTTGGAGTGATTTGTTATGATGGTGTCATATACCAAGCCTGAGCATTCTCCAGGGTGTCTTATCTGGCTGCAGTTCTGCTGCTGCATAAATGTGGGTGCCACGAAAAGAAAGCCCAATAAAAAGGAAAATTTCCTATGAAACAGCTAGTTAGAAAAAAAGGCAAGGATATAAAAGTCTGACTCATAAGTGCTCCACCTTATTGGTCTGCACTATAGTTAGAAAGGAGGTTTTAGGGAGGACGGTTTTAAAAATAGGCAGGAGAGTGGGCAGAACACTGTCAGCATAGCTCTGCGGAGAGCATTGCAGCATGAGACTTCCAAATGCACTTCCTTATTCCCCATCCCTGTATATTTCTCTCTCAGTTTAACAGGTTTGTCCTCCAG